CTATTTACAAAAAATAAAACTTTATAATAACAATATTCTAAGGATAATTCATACATTAGCAATAAAAGGTCATATAAAATATATTGATAAAGTAAGTATTTCTGAGGTATATGAAATATTATTATACATATTGAGATGTAGTAATTCAGCAATTTTTCATTTTAGATGATATTACATCTTAAAAATTCATCACCATTTCTTAGTGATGATATTCATATTGTATTACAATTAATATATTCTAATCAAATGGACGTAGTCCTGAAAATACTGTCACACATCAAAGACGAGAGCATTTCAAGACTATGTATACAGAATTTAGTTTATCTTAGTATGGTAAGGTATCATATTTCTTCTTGCATTGAGTATTACATTTCTGCATGGTTACTCACACAAAGTAATATATATTTTATTTTAGGGTTTTTATGCTATTATCAAAATGTGTAATTCTCTTGCAAGTGCAGAACTGTGCAGAGATCCTTTGTTGTGGGCATTGTATTATTCATATTTAAGAAACGACGATCTATGCCTTTCCTTACTGAAAATATGTAAAAATGATTATAAAATAAAACCACATTTCTTTTGGCCACTTCTAATTAAAAAGGTAGAAATGTATGATTTAAAAGGTATGTATATAAAGTAATATTAATATATGTAAGTAAGAATAATATTTAAAATGTGTGTTTGTACTTCATAGGTATAACACAGGGTTTTATTAAGTAAAAATATTTTCGTTTTACTCGCAGGCATGTTAGATGTTCTTAAGATCATGGTTAATGATTTTAATGTAACACCTTGTATTAATACAATTTCTAACTATGTTCTACCATCCATGGTTGCCGATATACATTCTTCAAGAACATTATTGATAGAATGTGGAATAAGTTCCACAATAATTGACAATGCTTTTGTACTGATGTGGCTAAGTGAATTAAAAACTCAGAATGCTGGATACTATGGTAAGTGCTAGGTATTTATGCAAACTATAAGATAATTAAATAATGCTCATTTCTCAACATAGTTAGGTCCTATCGTGGTCCATATATGTACAATGAAATCGCATACGATATTCGGAAGGCTTTATTTTCCACAAATGACTTGAAAAATCTTATTTATATCTATAATCAGTTGATAGAGGGTGACGAGTCACATACAGATACATTGATATATGTACCTATAGATAAACTACTACTGGACTTGATTGCTGATTATCCTGAAAATAAAACATTTATAAATATGGTATGGAACCTGTTTCTACTTTTAAAAGTCTTATATATGTAATGTATTGGTCTATAATATATATTATATTTAATTATCAATTTAACTAATATTCGGAATGTATCATAAAATTCTATAAGAATTATTAAATATTTAATAAGTCCCATGTTTTTTCTTAGGTAATAAGATACTTCGCAAAACGAGGAATTCAAATTTCATATAATACAGCACAAACTGTATCACGCGTCTTCGGTGACTCAAATGTGAACTGTGATGTAATATCTGCAAATCGACGGATGATGCAACCGAATTATTTGGTTAAAAAGAGGAATTAGTTTCAGTAAGATTTGTTTTGTAGAGTTAGATGTATCTTAATTTTTTGTGAAAGAGATTTAATTAATTAATTAATTAAAATTAATAATAAGAAATATTAATTACGATAATTGTTCATTATTCATGTAAACATTTATCTTATTACAATTCTTGCAGACATATGTTTCATAAATGAAGATGAAATTGAGGTCATGTCATTCGAGTTTTTAAGAAAGTAGAACTTGTAAGTATGAATAATTATACATATATTTTGCGTGAATATATGTATTTACTACTGCCTATATATACATTTCTTATATAAAGGAAGAAATATATCGCATATATGTACGAATAATTTGGTCCAAAGCTATGATCTTATTTTTTTGGAACTACGTCAAACTAGCTATTAACGTATCTTAACATATATTGTTATATTAAATTTTGTTATTTTTTATTTGTGGCACTCATTGCAAATATGCCTATATCAAATACAGAATTAAATTCATTCTTTGGGAAAGGTCAGTGAAACTTCTGAAATAATCGTAGCCACTTGCAACAGGTTCAAAAGCCTGATATAGTGGAAGGTTTTATAACTTTACAGTAGAAAAGTCCTAGGCACATTTTTTAGTCTATGTTTACTGACATGGTCCATTGTAGCATTCTCTGTCATAGTTTATTTCAAAGGCTGCAGGTAAAATTTATTGTGTTTCTCATAAGTCTATTCTTTCTACTTTGTTTTCCGTAATTTACAAAATAAATGTTATATAAGAATGTTGTCGGGCAATGTGCAGTAAGTTACATATTAATGGCATAGTGAAGTGAGAATAATAATGGTCATTTGTGTGAATAAAGTTATTTTAAGCAATTTCATTATTTATTATATTTTTCTTCTTTTTATTGTTTACATTGTGTCTTACTCTTTTTTGAATAAGAGGTATGAAGAATAATATTAATCCACTAATAGTAATCATAGCACCAGCGGTATAGAATCCAGGATCATAAGACTTGAGCACATCGTACAGACATCCTAGGAAAATATATAAAAGATATTGAATATTAAATGCTTCAAGCTCATAATTATTATAAATTTATACCTGCAATAGGCGGTCCTAAAAGTGATGCAAAACCTTGGAACAATAAAAGTAAACCAAAGGCGTTTGTAAGACGTTCCAAACCTAGTAAATCTATTAAAAGTACAGATGTAAGGCCGACATAAGCACCAGATGTAAATCCAAATATGGAAGTGTAAATTGCGAAGGTTACGAATGACGTGCATTCTGTGCTCAGAATCGTTGCTAGGAAATTATAAAATCATTAGCTTTGGCATTTGTAATTATATATAACAGCTATACAAATCATTTTTGACCCCTCTACATTTAAAATATAAAAGAAGATTTTATGTATCAAGATGATTTGATCATATTAATACATTAATAACTAAACTTACCAAGGCCACATATGGTAAGGCACAAGTTGTATATTAATAACCGGTTAACCCACGGTTTATCAGATATGTATCCTAATACTATACGACCCATAGTATTAGCAATTCCAATTATGGCAAGAAGATAACTTGCATCCTTCTTAGTAATCCCTTGTTCTTCGGCCTGGGGCTGCATAAATATGATGCCATTAATTATCATTTTCTTGCGAATCTTTCTCTTCAAGAAAACTGCAGTCATATATATTATATATAAATATACGTACCAATACATATACATATGGTACATTGAATCCAATACTGGTACAGAAATTGGAGAAGGTAAATAAAATGAACACTGGGTCCTTTAATATAGAAATATCCAGTATTTCATGAAAGTTACCTACTGCTTCTTCACAGTTACCATTAAGTATTTTAGCGTCCGCCTTCGAATATTCCATAGAATTGGGTAAATTCTTTAAAGATTCCTGGACATAAAGTCTGTCTTCAGTATAATCCTGTGTCGAATTTGGTCTGCCAAAAACAACACAAATAATATAACTTTTGCGAAATAGTACAATATCCGCGTTGAAAAACGTATTAACAATTATTATTAGACAATTAGGACAATACTGACATTTCTTTTTGGACGTTCCCCAAATTCTCTTCGTGCAACACATCTCTCAGTATTAGAGTAGGCTGACTGATGGTGGCTATCACTCGAGCTCTGTTATTTTCCCTTTGAAAAGCAACTATGTGCGTGTTCGTATTTTCGTTAACATTGTTTCTCCTTGAGGCGTCCTATAAGAATTACTTTTTTAATGGTACAAGGATACGAAAATCGTCGCTAATTCAATAAAATGATAGAGGACAACCAAAATGCATCACAAGGGTGCAGACATTTTCTTTCGTGTTTTCATAGTAATTAATTTGTGACACCTAATAGAAATTTTAATGCATTAAAAAACGTATCAACTCTATGGAAGACTAGCATTTTTCATTATACGATACGTTCTAATTATATCTTTCGCCCACTCATCCGAATCGTTCACGTGATACGGAAATAAGCAAAGTAAATTTACATTATTTTACTTTTCTAATAATAATACATACAAGAGTCCTGTACCTCTGGAGAACCACTGTTCCTCGGCTTTTTCTCTCTTAGGGGCCTGAAAAGTGCCCCGAGAGCGACGCAATTTAAAACGACGCCAGAACAGAGCATAATCGCTCCTCGCCATCCATAAGTTGCTATTAAGTACTCTAGACATGGTGCAAAGACTAAGGTACCTAATCCGGAGCCGCACACTGCGATTCCGGTGGCAAGTGAACGATACTTTTCAAAATAGCATGACACGCTTACGATCGCCGGCAAGTAGATCAAGCCGAAACCGAAACCTGTAAAATGATTGTATACATATTAATTCGTTGTTCACACGGTTCTATTCGAATGAATATTTTTGTTCCGATCGATTTCTAAAGAAAACATTCAATATAATTTGCTCACAAGTAGCCGCTATATTGTTCAATTCTACCGACACGGCGAATAGATTAGAAACTAGACAACTTAATTCTATCAAGACGCACGACGCGTCGCGTTTCTTTTCTCTAAATAAAAGTATTGCTCACTTCACCTGCACCGATGCCGATCGTAAAGTACAACGTGATAATGCTGCGGGCCCACATGCTTGCTAATAAGCACGAACTCGCCAATATGGACCCAGCTATCGTTACTGCTCTACATCCGAACTTATTTACGAAAACGCCCGATATTGGACCTGTAAATCAAAGTTGTTGTTGTATCTTTGTGTGTGTGTGTGTGCTTTATAGCGAAATAAGAGGGCCGGATCCTGATAAGAGAATGTACCTGAACACAACGTGACTCCTACTAATATCGACGCGACCCATGCTGTCGCACCTTTTCCTCCCTCAAAATAGTACAGGAATTCCAAATAAAAGACACCGAAGGAATACGTAAGACCATCCGCTAAAATAACAAACACCATCGCTAACGTTAAGTGTAACAATTACGATGAAATCAGTGTGGTTGTCGAGTTTCATCGATAAACGTGATAAATAAAGATCGACGAGACAAGGGGTATGCAATTATTAATTATACATCTTTTGTTTAACGAAACATATAATCATTATTTTCGCTCGTTCCTATAAACTGAATAATAGGATTTACGGGATAAATACCGTGCACATTTACAGACAAATGTGTCAGGCATTTGTTTGAAAATTTACACGAGACGCGTCATAGTTCGTTCGTACGTATTACGCCTAGTCCCATCTAAAGATACGAACTGGCTGGCTGAATACATTCTCGATCTCTAACAGATAATATGTATATGACATAACAAATTTTTGTTTCCAGATCTCGGTTCGCTCGGACGAACGGCGTTATCGCCGGCGCCGGACTATTAAGAAACGCTCTACGAAGTGAAACATCGGCGTTGAATCGTTGGCGCTTGAAATTTCGGACAAAGCATGCCGTACAATTCGAACAAGATCACCGAGGGAACTCTGCTAATTGGGGCATAGAAAACGAAAACGAGATGAGCCGAACAATATTCCGGGAGCGAGATGCTTCGCGGGAACGAGTGTAACGCGAACGGCGAACGACGCGCAAAGTACAATGTCCGTATCACGCTATGATTTTACATATCGCGATGATACTGACACGCATATTCGAAACTTACGACCGTGCGAAGCTCGTATATCGCGTACATAATGTATTTCGATACGCGAAACAAGCTATAATATATGTATATATATATATATCTGTCGCACATTTACAAGCGTCATTTTCAGTGAAAGCATTTTCTACGAATGTCATTACGAAGATATTATTTTCCTTATCGTGCTCTTATTAACGATGATAACCCCGTCAAGCGTAATTTTTCTAACTTCGATAAAAGTTCATCCGTAACATCCGGCAACATTTTTGTTCGTCCGAGGGAAAGTTTTACGGGCGGATCATGCGTTAACAATTAAAGGTCGTCCGATGCGATAGCCGTGAAACAAAATTTCGTATTTTATTTTATTGGTGCCGATAAGGGGGCGGCGGGGCAGAGCATGTATACGGATAAGCCTGTGATTGTGCGTTAACAATTAAAGGTTGTTCGCCGATAGTTGCGATCCGAAATTTCGCATTTTATTTTACTGGTCTCGATAAGTGAACACAGGGGCAGAGTGTTTAGATAAGCGCGCGATTAAATTTATACATATAATGTCAAGGTCTCTCCGGCTCTTCTTTTGCTCTATTCGGCGCCTTCGCGCTTCTGTAAAATATATGAGCAACGGGCGCTATCGTTCATTATAAACATCGCCGTACTCGCAAAATTGCTGCACGTTCGTTCGAACACCGAGATGAATTTCTTCGCGAAGGACTGCGCTTAGCCAAAGCACTTCCACAGCCCTCCGCGTTACGTCGGATCGACAGCGACCGATTAGAGTTCTCGTTTCATCGTTAATTTCGTTCTTGACCGCTGTACAATAACGAAAATATTTATTAGAGATCGGTCTGCCGTATGCGGCCGCAACTGCGAAACGATAACGTAACCGGTAGCTTCGATAAGTAAGTTTATACGAAATAAAAGCCGCAGCCGCGTGAGCAACCGCAAAACAATCCGCGTGCATGCCAAGCATCATTCGCAAGGTCACTGTTCTTTTTTTATTTTTTTGTTTTGTTTTTACTCGCGTCGAATGATCACGCGTTTAAATAAATATCATCGCATTTTCCTGCACGCACGACGCTCGCGGTGCATTCCCGTTTCGGAATTTCCGGATACGATTGCACTCTCCGCTTTCGAAACTCAATCACGGAGTCATCGTCGTGCTATGAACACGTGTTGCGGTTCAAAGCTCTCCCGGTTTTCGCGGAAAATCGACTATCTCGAGTATTGCCCTTTCGTCCGTTGTCGTTATTCATAGATGGCAAGCTCGTAGATAAACCGCTGTCGGCTTTGTTTGTAGCAACGATGATGAATACGCGGTGGAGATCATTCGATTTATACGCGCCGACGCGTTCCCGTTTGTACGGGAACTTCGAAACCTGTTCGTCTCGACGATATCCAACTTTCGGAATCTGCAAGACGCTTTGCAGGGATATTTTATAATTGGCGTAGGCTCGTTAGAAATTCTTAAGAGGAGAAGGGAATTTGCGAATGACTCCTAATACGTCTTGCAATTCGTGCGAACAGCTTTTATTTCGCGTAAAAATTCCCGTAAATGCATAAGATACGAGGCTTTGATCGTGAAGCGGAATTTGTCGCGACTTCGTCCACGCGAGAGCTTCGCGTTGTCCCTAAATTTAGACGATCTTTTAACAAGTCGTTTATTGTAGGGAATTGGAAAAATTGTATTTTCAGAATCGATTTATCAGCGAACATCGGACTGTTATTGTTACAACGAGAATAAACGATAATTAACTCCTCGTTGGGAAGGATATCAGGGAGCAGATAAAAATTCATTCGTTCAAATAAACGGTCACTATTAACAGTTGCTCGTAAAGCGTTCTCTATCTTATTCACACCTAGCGGGGTATAATTAACTTTTGTCACGTAAATACACCTGTGGTTCCGTAGGTTCCATAATTAACTGAAAACGGTTTATAACTGTCGCGAAATATTAAGCGAACTTCAGCGGCAACCGACGATTCTCTACGAGCGTAGATGCCAGTTCAACAATTCGTATCGTTTCGAAATTCTGACCGGTACAAGAGCGCGCAACATTAAATCATTGCGGACGCGCTCGCATTATATCATTGTTGCATCGTCCGAGAAAGCACTTTCCTTCATTTCGTTTCCCGAGGAAACGAACGGAGCAAACTGTGTACTCGTTGTTTCGTCGTATTTCATTAAAATCGCGCGTGTTCCCGGCTCGGTGCCGGCCGGCCGTCCTTCGGGGGTTTTAAACAATCGTTCATTCTATAAATGCATTAATTCACGGTCCATTGGTCAAAGCTGTTGCTCTGTCAGTTCGTGCACTAAGAGATTAAACTATTTTTACCGCGGTGCCGGTGTCGATGGCGAAATTCATACAACTTCTGCAAATGCAGCGGCTCTTGTTCGCGCCGTATCGCGGTACCATTTTACGCGGGCACTGTACCGTAATAACTGAAGATATCATTTTGCCCGATTATAATGCGACCGAAACGGGATCAAAACGGCCGCTGGAAGCGGAGCGCCGATAAAATTTCACGAATGAGAAGAAGAAAAAGCGCGTCGCCTCCGAAAATAAAGCGATATAAAGCACCGATGTGGAACGTGTTACTCTGTTACCAACCGAATCAAAGAATGAACAGACGAATTCGAATATGTAACGACGACGACGACGACGACGACGACGATGACGACGACGACACGAAACTAACACCATGAGGATATTCTCGTCTGCTCAAGAACGAAAGTAACGAGAGTAGAAGTGAAACTCATATGCGGTGTCGAACATGTAAAAGAGAAACTCGCTCAATTTCGTTCGAACGGATCAGTTTAAGGACCGTGAGATCATCTCGATAACGCCGTCGCCTTCATTAACATAAACATTTCGCAATTACTCGCTGATTTCTGAGAACGATCGAAATAATTGCACGCGACTGCGTCCGCGTTGTGATTTTACCCGGTCTCCGATGCGATTTTGGAAATGTTGGCCACGTTACGCGAAACTTTGTACGAGACGAGAAACTATAACTATAAATGATCCGTAATCTTCGTAATCTACTGTTGCGTGACACGAAGAACCTGCTAACTGTCATTATTTCATTATCGAGATGATGCTTTAATGAAATGCTGGATAGGGTGCAGATCGTGGTAAAATCAAGCAGGGGTTGATTCTATGTGAAACATAAGAGAACAAATTTAGTAGAACGACAATCATAAATATAATATTGTAAATCATGTAACAGTGACAATTACGCAAACGTTGCACTTGAATGCAATCCGCAATTGTAACCATTCGAACACTTTGAGGAAACGTGTTTTCCTGTCTGCGAACGGAATGAAACAGTGGGATGCACACGCGCGTAAATGTTTATCCGTTCGAAACGTGTCCGATTGGGCCGAGTTCGCGACGGCACGTCGAACATTTTGAATTCAACACGCGAACAGTGGCGAGCCACCGGTCCATTCGGATGCAAACTTTAAACATTGTTATTCGAATATCACAATTACGGTGGACTCCCCTATAACACGAGTTCTCCCATAACGCGCCAAAAATGTTGCGATCGCCGCTATTATAGTGAAATTAAAATATGCAAGAACGAGCCAGCTAATCACACTGGAACGTAACTTTGTTCGACTCGCAACGATTTCGTTAAATCGTTTCTTTCGTTTCATTCATAAAAGACCATTTTAGTCGATATGCGATCTAGCAACGTTGTCGATTGCGACGATGTTGATTTCCTGTAACAGAAATTCGAAAACGCGTAACACGTTGCCGCGTTATGCCGGGAGTCTACTCTACGATAAATGATCCAAAGCATGCCGAGCGTATATTTTTGTCGGAAAGGTTCGCGCCGCCGTTCGACTGATAAAACGCGAAAAACGTTTCGCGAGTTCGCGAGGCATCGCGTGAAACTCGCCGGTCTAGAAATACGTCAAGGAAGAGAAAATCGTGTGCTTACTGATTACGTGGATTAAGAAGGATGCAAGGACAACGGCGATTCCCCATCCTCCGTCCGGCGGCAAGGGACGAGCCGGGGTGGTGTCCTTCGTCGTATGGTCCATTTGTTCACAGGCGACATTTTCGCTTGTACCTTTCTTCTCTCGCTTGTTTGTCTCGACGGAGGAGCCGACGACCGCGTGTGCCATGAGTTGCAATTGTTGGACTTGGCGAGCGTTGTTACTCGCGACGATACCAAGTACCGCGTCAAGTTGGTGCTCATGGTGGAAGGGACCGAAAGAAGAGAGAAGGGGTGACCCCGGTGGTCGCCGAAAAGCACGTTGTCGCACTTGCCGCACAATTAAACAGAGCTTCGCGCGCCGAAGTGGCTTTATTTTCTTTCTTGAAAATGACAACACACCGGACCAAGCAAAATGTAATTGCTGACACGTATAAAAATGCCCACTTCCGAGATACGGTTCACGTGGGAAATGCTCGATTTTGAACAAAACGAATATCATTTTTGTTTAATACAGTTTCATCGATACGTGATCTCGGAATTTATTCTTCAAGAATTATAACACGTGATTATAACATAAATTATATAATTATAAGTTATAATATATATATTATATAATTATAAGTTATATAATTATAACACGTAATGTTATTTTTTGTTCGAATTTCTTTTCTATTCTATATTTAAAATTATTCTTTACTGTTCAGATGAATCGATATCTAATGATTCGAACTATTTTAATAATTAATGCGATGTTTGCGTGGAAATTGTAACTGTTGTATGTTATGGTACGTTACGGTATTAATAATTTGACGGAAACTAATTAATAGAATAGAAATTATATTTTTATTATACACGATATACATTATGAGATAACATAAATAAGCAAAAATATTTGGTTATATATAAATATCTATTTCTTCATTCATTTTTTTCAAACATTAGGTTTTACGAAACAAAATGCATTGTTCATTAGTTTAATTACGAAATCAACTAACTGCTCTGTCCACGTCTCTACGGTCTTTCACTTTTTTACTTTTCTGCGGTATTAATTCGTAAGTACATATGGTAACTCCGTGCTGATGAGCAGGTGTCCATTCCCCTTTCAAGCCGATATAATAAATCCTTATTTGTTCCTGTCCTGTGCGTCCGGTGAAGTATAAGCTTAAGTGATTAACCGATGAAAATTTTACAACTCTGTAATATTAAATACAGGTGACATTAAATTGGCGTATAATCGTATAGCTATTCAGTTTAATGAATAATAAAATGCAGGCTGGCCTGCACTTTAATTCTTCTAATATTTGAGTTGGTTTTAATGTGAAATGAAAACTTAAATAATATTACTAAATATTTATGTGTTAGCGACAATTTGTTTTTAAGGGAAGTCGAAGTCAGACTTCACTTGCGGTTAATTTACGACTGGACCAAGAATTGACCGTCGTCCGCCAGGTTTATCTTCTCTTCTTTTTATGAACTATGAGAACCAATTCGAATATTATGGTATCCAATGCAATGGACCATTCTCCACGTGATACTCACTTTGGAAAATACTGATGAACTCCATAATTGTCTACACAAAGCTCAAATTCTTGTTCAGGTTGTACAATATTATCGAATGTCATATGTGGACGATTTTTATACCTATATTATAAATGTATCTTAATTAATAAAGAATAATTTATATAGATGTCATTATGTTTTAATATTCAAACTTAAAGAGATACTTACAAACTCACTCTGTGTGGATGAAGCTCATTTTCACCTCCAATAACAATGAGACCTTTTAATTTTATACTTCCTGTGAAACTATATAGAAAGAAAAGTTATATTTACCGGTTAAAAGAAATGAATGTATACACGTGCAGAATACTTACGGAATATTAAATAGAAGTTCATTAACATCAGTATCAGCATCACTTTCTACATACTGGAAGCAACAGGTTAGTTATAAGAGAAATATTATAACTATCTATGTAATGATACAAACTCATAAAAATGTTGAACCAAAACGAATAAATGACAGAATTACTTTGCTTTTATCTAGTCTATCCTCCCATGTTTTGAATACAGAAGCTCCGCTACCTTCCTCGTATTCATTTAAACATTCAATATTGAGAATATCAATTTTTTCATGTAAACTGTACTGTACACCTAGGTCACCTTCCTCATGTGATTCTCCACAATTACAGTGATGTGTCATGGTAGAAAAATCTCTGAAAAAATAGTAAATGCTCTTAACTAAATATTTCTTAATTATATATATATATTGAAATCAATATAATACTACAAAAAAGATTATAACAAGTTCTTTCGAAAATTATATGTGCTATATTGTTAATAATTATATATTGTTTCCGTCGTCTAAACATTATTACGACTATGTAAAAATAAATATAGTGGCAATAAATTTCAATTGCAGTTATACATTATTGAAAGGTAAGATTTGCAAAACCACAAGTTTAAATCTTCCCGTACGTTAAACATACAAACGTTTTAAAGAGTCTGTTTCTTATCAACATGACAGCTACGATACCAAAAATGACAATCGAAATTTCCTAAAGTCAGATAAATATAAATTGTGATGTTATATATGCAAAATATTCGTTGATTATAAACATGTAGATTGCAATAACTATAAGTATTTCAATAATTTGTATTTTTTACGCAAAATTAAAGTGATTGATAAAAAACAATAGTACGTTCCAAAATACCTTAAAATTTATGTTAATTAATTATACTTTGCGCTGTTATCGTCTGGACTTTTTACACGATATTGATGCAGCAAATTCTCCTGAACAATTCCGTGCCGTTGGTTTAGTCTTTTAAGTCTTAATTTTGCCAAAATTAATGTTTTTAGTCGACTCTGCATTGGATAGATGTGAGCGATTGTAGCGCCTCTCGTGATGAAACCTGGAACCTCCTTTCGATGTCCGTACAGCGCCAATTAGTAAATGGCAAAACGCTGAAACTGCTAGCCAAAACAGAACTTCTAGATTTTACCGCAAGTGGCGCCACTGTTTGACTAACAGTTTGAGCGTTTTGCCATTTACTAATTGGCGCTGTACGGACCTCGAACCGAGCTTCGTTTTTCCTCCACAAGAGGAGCCACTTTCGCTTTCATTTGCAAAATGCAGAGTTGCCGGAAAATATTAATTATGGCAATACTAGGACCTAATAAAGTAAACCAAGCGCGCAGATCTATACAGTAGAATCTACTGCATCGATATCGTCTTAAAAAACAAATGACAACATTGTGAAACATGATTAATTGCTTTTTAAAGTTTCATTTATTGTTATGTTAATTAATTGTGCTTTGGGTTAATGTTATCAGCTTTCTTCACATGATATCGATGCAGCAGACTTTCCTGAATACATATGTGTTCTTGGTTTATTGTTTTACGCCCTTATTTTACCGTTATTAACGTTTTTAGGTGACCTTGTATCGTGCAAATAAAAACGACAGTAGCGCCTCTTGTGGAAAACTGAAGCTTCTTTCGAGGTCCGTACAGCGCCAATTAGTATATGGCAAAATGCTCAAACTGCTAGCCAAACAATGGCGCCACTTGCGGCGAAATCTGGAAGTTCTGTTTTGGCTAGCAGTTTCAGCGTTTTGCCACCTACTAATTGGCGCTGTACGGACCCTGAACGCAGCTTCCAGATTTCGCCACAAGAGGCGCCACCGCTTGGCTAGCAGTTTCAGCGTTTTGCCATTTACTAATTGGCGCTGCGCGGAACGCCAAAAAAGCTTCAAAATTTCGCCACAAGAGGCGCCACTTTTCGCAAATGGCGCGAAATACGAACTAAGATTTAATGTTAACTTTATATATACATCTATTAATATTTTAGAATTAATATACATATATATATTTTGACCAATCGACCTTGATTGGTCTACAGCCCGTTATTTTTTGTATTAAACAAAAGTATTTAAGAATTTTTAACGTTAAATATTCTTTTAATTTCGTGAAGTGGACCAATTAGTCCCACTTTTCTTTCGTGCCTTTAGGTCCATGTAGAGCTATTATACTGTATTTGAATTATTGTTTTCTACGTCACATATTATGCTTCAAAGACCCTCTATATTTTTAATATTTTGCATGCGATCTATCTCTCTGTCTTTTTTATATTAATTTAAAGAAGTGGCAGCACTGTACGTATGTATGTAGGGTGTCAAATTCAATTAATTCGGGAATACATACATAGCAACATCAATGATTCCGGCAGAAGTTTCGTTTCTTACACATGGTATTCTACGCCTATGTTACAACAAGAACAACTCTTTTCTTTGAGTGTGTCTTTGAGTGAACCTACCCTGGTATGCAATAAGTTGTGTCAGGGGTTAGGTCTTAAGAGTTCTTGTATCAGAATAACTGTAAATACATTAAAATAGAAAACAAGGTGGCGTATGTGGGAGAAACAATATCATATGGAGCATAACCAGCAAGTTTGTGTTTCATAGATCTGAAATACCTGATCGATACTTTGAAGACTGTGCTTATATTCGTGAACACTAGACTTATTAATGGTGATTCCATAGCAAATGAATATTTGCATGCTGCAGTTATGTGCTTCCATTGTGAAAACATAATTGTTTTATGGTGATAATATGTCAAAATCAAGCATAAGGAAAATAACGGTTGACCCTACGAAATGTAATACAGACTCTCGTCGACCAAGTGTGTTTGAGAGGTTGGGGACCAAACCAGCAGTTACTGCCGGCCAAAATTCATCGGATTACTGTAGAAACTGGGCATTGAATGGCAGTTGTTCGTATGGAAAGAATTGCAAGTACGTACAACTTTGACATTTTTATTTTTCTCAAGAAAATAAAATACGTTATTTTACAATGCAGTTGACTGAATTTTTCGTGTTCAGTGTGAAATACCAGCTTTTTTTTATTTAGAATGTAAAGTAAGAATTATTATCCGTTCATTTTAAGAGGACCAATATTTTCTTTTTTTATATTATAACTAGATATGCAAATACTCACACATTAATAAGTCCATCCAAGCGTGCCAAGAAGGATAATGCAATTGCAAGTACAACGGGAGTAAGTCTATAAACTTTTAGCTATATTATTATAGTTTTTATTACAAATCATTCTATGGTAAATAAAGACTCTATTGATGTTTACTACACGCAGATATTTACATATGTATGTTTTTAATACATAGCTTATTGAGGATCCGTTTAAAAGGCTTACTTCTAAGATCGTAAAAAAGGCGTCGCATAGTCCTGATTTAAATCTTGAAGAGTGGAATCAAACAGATTTAGAATACGAGGACGAGAAAGTACTAGAAAGGCGTAGACAGCTGTTACAGCGTGAATTAGAGTTACAAATGAAGAAAGATAAAGAAGTTCATGGAAAAGACAAAGTGAGACAGAAGAAAAAGGCAATGACTTCTTCCTCTAGTTCTCATACTTCAAGCACATCTAGTAGTAGTAGCAGTTCTAGCAGCGAAGATTCATCTTCTAGTTCGACGTCTGACTCACGGAAGAAGGTTAAAAAAATTAAATCTAAGCGGCATCACAGCGGATCTACAGATTATGATGAGGATAAAGAAAGAAGACGAAAGTAAGTAATTCGTATTGTGTGTAGATTATTTCTTATAAAATAAAGTGTTGTTTGCATTCGATAGATTGAAATTGAAAAGACTCGGCACCAAGAATGACAAGCCTGCAGTCAAGAAGAAGCGGAAGCTGGAAAGTAGTTTGACGAAAAAGGAAGTTGGCAATAGGTCGGCTAAAAAGTATACCTCAACTTCTACATCAAGAAAACATTCTTCCACTCCCCGTACAAGATCACCAGCGATACAAGTACCTGCAACAGTTGCACCCACAGCAGCAGTGGTATTAGGCTCTTCGGTATCTGTGCCTCATCATGCAGCATCCAATAAAGTTAGGGAACGAAATAGAACAGAATCTCCAAAAGCACCCAAAGCTAGAGATGTGGAAAAAGAGGACAGGCATTACAAGAAAGTACGAGATGTAGACGAAGTGCCTAAAGAAAGCAATAAGAATAAATCTTTCGATAAAGCTAAAGAGCCGGAGAAGGAGAAAAATCGTACAATAGATGAGAAACTAAAAATCGATGAAAGGGTAAAAGCAAAATGTAAAGAGAAGGAATTACGCTCCAGGACACCGCCGACGACTGAAAGATCAAAACATCAACACTCTAAAGAGACAGTGTCAACGAAAGCTCGTCGTAGTCGTACACCCGAGAAATCATCGAGATCGAAACGGGAACCTTCCCCATCGAAGACTCAAGACAGACAGATATCCGCAAATCGATCAAGAGACGTGGAGAAAAAAGATCGTGAATCTCACAAGAGTGATAAGACCAAGGACAGGGAGGACATTAGAAAGACTGAGCAGAGTAGCAGAACTAGACAAGTGGCGGCGAGTCAAGAAGAGAGTCACAGACGAATTGGGAAGGAATTTGATGAAAAAGCTTACGTGGGTGATAAAACACGACAGAAAAGTAGAGAACGACGTGACAAAGACCATCCAAGGGATGAACGTGGCCATTCGAGGCTTGGCCGGGATCAACGAGATCCGCGTGATAAAGACAAAGAGGATCTGCAAGAACGTTGTCGCGAACGACAACGAGAAAGAGATCGTGATCGTGACAGAGATCGAGAACGCGATCGTGATCGGGAGAGGGACCGAGATCGTGATCGTGATAGGGATCGGGATCGCGATCGAGACCGAGACCGAGATCGTGACCGTGATCGTGATCGAGATCGAGACCGTGATCGAGAGAAAGATCCATTGAAAGCTAGGGACAGAGATGTTCAACCATTGGTTCCGACATCAATAAGTATAGCTGTAGACAAGAACTCACGTTATAGCCGGGACAAAGAACGAATAGTGGGAAAAGATAGTGCCTTTGAGAAGAACGGTACCCGGGAACGTAGGAGCGACAGGGAGAGGGAACGATCTGAAACGAAAGCGCTATCGGATCGAGACAGGACATCATCGCAACGAATTGATGGTAGATACGATAGAACCGCCGTTGATAAAGATGCGCCTGCTCGCAAGGCCGGTGTAAATTCTCCGAGAGATCGTTTCCCACGCGAGAGATCATTAGATAGAACATCTTTACTGGATAAGACTGTACATACTGCACAACCTCCATCACAAGCACCTTCTTTACCACCGGTACAAACTTCTATAGCATCCTCATCGTCTTCATCCGCGCCAGCAACATTGTCAACATCACGAGACAACTTAATCGACAGGATAGATGGACATTATGACCGAGAAAGGCATAGACGATTTGGTGCAAGGTATTATAATTCGTGCATTTAGCTGTTAATGTCAGGGATCTTGTATAAAAAATTAAATATTACATAACGCTTATAAATAAAGAGTTTAAGTTATTGTAATAATCTCTTAAAATTATCTTTTTAAAAACTTATATATATATATATATATATTGCTAAAGTAAATCATTTTACAGACGGGAAACCAGCCCGCGTCGAACTATTGAAATTGATAGGAACTACAACAGGAATTACGGACGGTTGTCCGAGCACTGGGATGAACAAGAGGAAGCCACTACGCACTTAGATTACCGCGAACATCATGTTCACGAGGATGAGAGGAGGAAACCTGTTGACGGAAGAAGGTACGATAGTCCGTTTGAAGAAAGACGAGGGATTCGCGAAGAAAGATCTCGAGAATCTAGATACGTTGTTCAGACTGCGGACAGAACATCTTTCGAAGATCATCGACATCATCATCATCATCATAGGCATCCGCTGTACCCTGGAGAAAAGTTGAGAAGTAATACATCGATTCGGTAAGTTTGTGGCATCAATATTTTCTTGAGTAATGGAGAATAGCTTAGAGTTAAGTAGGAACTACATTACCCTATTTTCTATATATCAGTGACGAAAATGTTCCCAATGATGATTGGGATAATCATCACAGAGACGTGGAACATGGCCGAGAACGAACTTACGGGCCCGTTGATTGGGAGGAAAGAGAATGGCGAGTAAGAGCATTGTGGGACAGCAGAGATAGTCTTCCTCGTTCGGAAGTTCATGATGAAGATTGGAATTCTCGGTACGATAATTCTATCACGGACTGGAAGTCAAATGACGCACGAAAATGGGATAATCAATCCGTGCATATACGTAGCCATTACAGAAACGATCGTTCAAAAGAGATAGAAATGGGAGAGTCCACATCTCACAAGTGCGTTATCCGTGAATTCACATTATTTAATTAACGTATCTCAAATAAATACTTATGACACATTAATATGTATTAAGTCCATTTTGTTTCAGCAAAAGGAGAAACTATAATAATTCAGAAACTAGGGATGAATGTACAGTTCATACCTCTAAACAAGCATCTCTATACGGTAGCATGAAAGAGGAACCTATTAATAAAAAGTTAATGGAACTGGCAGAAGGTAAACTATCTACGACTCGAGAGAAGTCTACAGATAGTTTCCCGAAAAAGGTTTTATTAAAAGAAAAACCTGAGACTAAAGAAACCGTCACTACTGAGCCAAAGCGTTCTTGCATCGATGAGTCTTTGCAAACACTTCATACTGAAAGTGATCTCAGTGATATTAGTGATGATCCAGATGATATACTAAACATGGAAGATATTACAGTAAGTGCTTCTTTCTTTATTTGTACTTATCTAGAAATTTAAATATATATTAAAATAATCATTCATAGGATGTCGAAACAAATAAGACGCGCTCGAAGAAAACCCCTGACACAACGCAACGCGATGCACAGTCAACGACTCAAGAAACAGCACCGTCATCTCCAAAGGAGACAATAGAGGAATCTGTATTTAATTCTAAAGGAAAAGATAATACCGATACAATGTCATTTAGGTATTATTTTTAACTAATTAATTAGTAATAATTGCCGAATTCAGTGTACACATTTGACAGATATGTTTTGACAATCGCTTTTTGCTAAATTTATTTAGGAATCTGGAAGATGAGAATATGGAAACTATGGACTTTGAAGAAATTTCTGACGGTGAACTAGAAGAGGATATTAAAACAAGTGGTAAAGGTTTAGGGGATGCTTTGGGAGTTGATTGGGAGAGTCTAGTGAAAGAAACGCAGCCACGAAGACCCGCGACGTGTAATCAAAATGCCGAAAATCGTTGGCAGTGTAAGGCGATTCTTCATAGAATTGGTATATCTGGCAAATACGGTGGTGAAGATTTAATGAAGAAATTGACAAAGAAATATGGGAAAAATGGTATGTCCTTTTCTTACCTATTTTTGAAAATATTATATATCTATTATATATTTATTTTGTCGATTATTTATTTACAGATCATTCAGAATTTTTCCTTCACAATGTTGCGTTTATGCACACGGCGCTTGCACGGAATCGCTTGTTGCATAACCTGAACAATGATATGTTACCTGGGGTGGACGACTTTCTGTATAAGTAAATAAGTTTCTTTAAATGTTAATTAATGACGTGTCGCAATATTTCTAACATTGTTCTTTTTACAGGAATAGTAATGTAAATACCGAAGAGGATGTGGATTACGATTTAGAAGTTTTGAGACCTTGTACAGCTTTATACGAAGAGGCAAAATGCTTATTGCAACAAGTTGTATGAAAAAAGCGTTTATTTGTAGGACATGACTCCCAAAATTGCACATTGTTGCTATTTAAAATAGTACAGCATAAGGCAAAAGTGTCATCAGTGGCATCAGTTTGTTACATGTTAAATTGGTGCAGTTAATATTTACTGCAACCAGTTCAACCTTCAGTGGTGCAATCTAGGAAAGAATTAAATTGATACAATTTTTTTTTTAGTACTTAGCTCTTCGATCATCTTAATTAAATGTCTTTTGTATATTATTCAAATTTTATAACATATTCTTTATGTGAATTATAATTGCAAAGATTGATTATAACAGAGTGACTAGATTGGAAGAATGTGGAACATACATTACCAAAAAACGTTATATCACATTTTATATCATATCTTTTTTTATAAATTGCAAAAAAAGAATCATTATTATAGATACTTAAATTTAAAAATTTATTACTAAACATTTTGTGTGCTTATACTATTTCGAGAAGATATTTTCTTAATATTTTGATAATATATGTGAATTAAATGATTTGATCCACGTATACATATATAGCGACTGTACTTTTTACCTGGTCTTTTATAAATAGAGTTTTGTACACACTTAGGAGATATATATGTTAGATAATGTTTATAGATAAGTATTAACTTTCAATATCAAGAGATAATTATTTTCCTTTGTTATAAAATGTCTATATTCTTTATATTACTTTTAATGGAACAATTAACATTGTTTAAAATACTTTTTATCACACTCGAAGTTAACAGCAGCCACAACATCATTTTGCAATATGGTCATTGCATCCTCCAATAGACGCTCGTTTTCATCATTCTAAGAAAAAGTACATGATGTAAATATGAGAATTAGCGACGCAGTATAAATAAATAAATAATATAAACACCTGTATAGAAAACTGTGCACGTTCATTTCGAATGTTCTGTTGCTGCCGTAATCTCTTCGTCTTCTCCATGTTTGTGCAATATAGCTCGTACAAAAGAAGCCCTAAAATATTCAGTAAAATAAAATTGCGCATGAATATTTTCAATTTCGTAAACGAAACGAATTACCTTTCTTCTTGCTGTCACCGCCATTCAAAATGTCTAACGTGGCGAGCAAGTCTTTGCAGTATCTGGCCTTTGTGTCGAGCTCCGCGTCGGTTAAATCTAATACAATTGTTCGACAAATAAAAAATGTTTCAATATTTCGAAAACAGACCGTGTCTATACATATATTATAATTGCAGTACCTCCCCATTGCACTCCCTCGGCTCTACCGTAGTATGAAATAATTCGGAATTTAATGTCCATAATAAGATAATTAGTGAGCGGGATCACAAGTTTCAGTTCCCTCTGCATAAAATCATAAATTTCACGCGGAGTTTTATACATAACGTTCTCCATGATAGCCGACAAGCTAGAACGAATCGAAGTTACCTAAAAAAGAAAAGAAATTGCCTCATAATTTGTTTAAATTTTCAGCAAAACTTCAATAAACGTATAAACACCTCTCGGTTGCTCATGACGATGGAGCATTTATCACAGATCCAGGACGACGTCGAATTTAGCGGATCCTGGGGCAGCAGATTTCCGGAACATTTCTCGGATTCGCATAACAGCGCTCCTAATCGAGATCCAAATTCCTGACGTTACATGCAAATAAATGGTAAAATAAATGAGTGAATAAAAAACGAAGCAGAAGAACTTGATTCGCGAAGGGGTCGATGTGACCTGTGAAAGGGTGCAGCTTAAAGTGCAAGAAATCGTGAGTTCGATTCGCAAGGGGGGTGAGTTCGTAGCGCGAAGATCTGCGATGTATCGAGGGATGATGGATCGTAGAGTTACCGTGGGATCGCTGCACCGTTTGCAAGCGCAGGCGAAACGTTTGGTGACGCTTAGAAAGCGTCGTCGCCGCGTGGTGTCCCAGAACAAGCTCGTGTAAGACATGGTCAGCTCGTCCCCGGCGGAAATCGGACGGGCGGCGTTCACGTAGAGGCGTTGCCCGTTGTCGAAATGATGCCTCGTGTTCGGCGTGCAACAATGATTCTGCAGTGCCCCGAGAGGATAAAGACCGCGTAAGCTCGAGGAATGATCGTTATCCTGGACGCTGACCGTTTCGAACGCGTTCGTGGCGAACGTTCCGCATACGCGTTTCATTAACTCCAGGTCCTCTTCGCTTGGCGGATTTGCTACATTCCGTTGCAGTAGTTCGGCCTTGTTCCCGGAAATTCATTAATTACAATCGTAATACATTAGCGAAAAAGAAAGAAGAAAAAACACACGAGCGAGCGTGGCCGCTTCTCGTACGGCCTTTTCTCATCGCCGTACGGCGAAGCTTCGCTGAACATGATCTAGAAAAGGGATAATTTCGAGCGCGAAAAAAGTGAACATGAAATCTACGAAATGATCAGTTTCGTTGCGTGAAATCCGCGGTAGCTGAAAAAGTTCATGCATTTCTGAACAGTAACGAACGGCGTAGCGTTACACGGTGCTAATTGGAGAGATATTCTGGGACGTCTATCGCCGCGGTAATTCCAAGCTCGATGAAACTGTATGAAACGATTTTCATAATTTTTATAATTTCTCAACGATGTGTTTACGATCATTTTAATTATCGAATTGTTTAATGCTCTCGCGATCGTTGTACTGATCAAATAAGGCGATCGTACCTCGAAGGGATAATTTCGAGCGCGAAGAAAGTGAACATGAAGTCTACGAAATGATCAGTTTCGTTGCGTGAAATCCGCGGTAGCTGAAAAAGTTCATGCATTTCTGAACAGTAACGAACGGCGTAGCGTTACACCGTGCTAATTGGAGAGATATTCTGGGACGTCTATCTATGTGAAATGATTTTCATAATTTTTCTAATTTCTCAACGATGTTTACGATCATTTTAATTATCGAATTGTTTAATGCTCTCGCGATCGTTGCATTTATCAAATAAGACGATCGTACCTCGAAGGCGGCGAGGTGACTCTCGTCCCACTGGAACCCGGCCAAGCATTTTCGTTGTTGCTCGGTCATGAACAGTCCTCGTATCGGTATCACGGTCAGCAGCAGGTCGAAGGACCAGTCGGTACCGGAAGTCGGCACCAACGACCTCAAGTACTTGCATTCGTAGTCCACATGGTTCGGTGAATTTTCGCATTGCACCGAGCAGACCGGCAAGCCGCAGCCACGGTCGCACGGAAACAGCGGACACTCGTTCTTGTAGCAGCACACGCACATCTGCGGACGCTCGCACGCTAGAACTTTAGCTTCGGGACCGTTTACAACCGTGTAATTAACAATTACGTTCAGCGTAAACGGACGTTTCACCGCTCGCTCGAAAACTCGACGGAGAACGCGCGCGCGACGCCTCGTCGCCGACCTTCATTTTATTTAAGAATAAAGTACCGTACGAGAGCGAAGACCATCCCTTATTTTTTTAGTATTTAACCGTTTGCGTACCACGGGCCACTTTTGCGCTCTTCAGATCTTGTGTCGAGAAAAGCCAGGCCGCATTTGGCCGAAACAGACGACTTAAGGGCCCACCCGAAATTTGTCGAAACGTGCCCAGCCTTTCGGACGCATATATGCGTCGCATCGCTGTCTGTAATCCAATTTGCATTTTGTTGTTACCTATTCTAAATTAATAGTATATATTTTTTCATTCGTAACGTTTTATTTTATGTTTTACGGCTTTCTTCGACACGCAATCGAAGGAGCGCTGTTGCGCTCTTCGATCCTGTTTTTTCAGAACCATCCGGTACGCAAACGGTTAAGCGAGTCGGTTGTCGTCTCGTACGCTGCATTTTGTAACACTTTGCAGTCGAAGCTATTCGAATTCGAAATCCAAAACATGATTTCTGATCTACAGTATCTCTATTTTATATAATCTATTGCGATTTATACATATGAAATTGAGCCTATTGGCAAGTACAATGCAATTTTAATAGTTTTTTTTTAAATATAAACGAGTCTGATGCTTTTAGAATGATTTTGAAAAATAGTATACCAATATTTTAGTGGCGCCACAGACTCGCCACTCGAGTGCAAAGGGTTAAAGCGCGTCTCGTCGCCGAGGATCTCGAAATCGTCGTCGAATCATTTCGAACGATCGCGAGACGCGGCTAACAATGCGACAGAAAAACGAAAGAGCATTAGGATAGCTAAATAAAGGCGATCGCGCGGACACCGATCGCAAAAAAAATGCAGTCGCAACGTGATCGACGCAGTCTCCGTGGCGCGGCTCGACGAAACCGGAGGCGAATAACGAGAAAACGGAGGCGAATCGAGAAACGTGGTTCAGTGAACGAATGAGCTGTCTCCTAAGATTAACCGGGCGGCTCGGTAACGCAACGGCAGCCTAATAATGGGAACGGAATGGCCGGGCGGAACTTGCGCTAAGCCTGATCTACGGGACGCGAGAATGTTTCGCGTGCGATCGCATATCGGACGGATATCATACCGGAAGTCTACTGGCCGCGCACCTTGGCCCGACGATTAGGGGCGCGTCGACGAAGATCAGCTCGTTAGGCTCGATGTTCCTGGTGGCGAACAGGCCGCGGCCTCCCAATTTCGAGTAGCCGACGGTCCACGGCAACGGATCGTCGCCGATGATTCTGTTCTCCTTCAGATGGGCTATCAACGATTCTTTCACCTGATCCGGGTCCACGATACTCGGTAGATTCATGCTCACAGGCGATCACGAGTGGAACTTCGCGGAGGGGAAACCGACGAGACCCGTCTTCGACTACGGTGTTCACGGTAGTGCTCGCATTCACGCTTCTCTCGCGCTATATACAGTAGCCGGAATATAAATAGAGAAATGCTACTTCTTATCTTCATCCAGCTTGTCATAACGTCCGCTATCCTTCATTCACGTAAGCCGTTCGAGCGTACGACACGCGTCGCTTTTGTAAACGTTCGAACGTGTACAGGTGATGTCCCCCTAACTGACGCTCGGATTGCGGCGAAAAATTGGACAATTTGGGAAGAGGAGATACGATTCATTCGTGTCTTGCGCCTTGTTTTTATATAATCACCGATTCTCGACAACTATAAAAAACGAGGCGCAAGACTCGAACTCTAATCGTAATCTCTTCCTCCCGAATTGTCCATTTTTCTGCACAATCCGAGCGTCAGTTAGGCCCACGAAAGTGTTCGTGCACCTTTTGAAACGCGCAAACCTTTTTCAAGCTGGTCCCGAAAGCTACTTGAATCGTTTTTCCAGATGATAGCGGGACTAGTCCACCAGACGATGACCAGAACGCTTTTTTCTCATCAATTTTGCTATCGCTTGGAGCGACAAGAAAAGAAATAAAAGGCTTCAAAAGTTTTTCAATCTTTTTATCTGAGCTTATAACAAAAATTAAGAAAAATGCCTTTTCTTTTTTAATCGAGTTTTAAATATGTTGTCAGGTTTTAGAAGGTGTGCGAACACTTTCGTGCGATTATTGTGCATTACAATCGTCGCATTTATACGAATACAGCACGGACGGTTAATCGAGTACAGTAATTTCTCCCTAATTCGCGCTCAGATTTCGCGGAAAGAATGGACAATTCGAGGAAGAACAGATTGTCAACGACTACAATAACGAACCGCGAGGCTCGAACAATCGTATCTCCTTATTCTCCGATCTAGGCTAACGCATCGATCGCGAACCATCGAAGATCTTCGTTTCACAGCGAAAAATCATGCTACCGGTTTGTTCGCCGCGCGATCATTTTTTTAAGAAATCAGCGGTCGTTTCCGGTCGTTCCGAGAGGTTTTCGAAACGGAACCAGGATTCGTGTATCGATACAGCGTAATTTCACGCAAGCGTAACGTGGTGTACACCGTTTGTATAGACGATCGTTGCCAGGACTACCAGGTAGCTAGCCGCAAGGAACACTGTATGCTAACAAGTATGTATATTATATAGGGTTAGTACCATTGAGGGATAGTGTGAGCCGAGAAAAAGTATCGTAGAACCGACGACCCCGCGTGTCACCAGTTCCGTTCCGAGGATCGTCGAATAGAAAAAGGTAATCGGTACGGAGAACGGACGATCGATCCTTCGACAGTGAACAAACCGAGATAAAAGCGTCATTCGATTTTTAGTTGCTGCATACGAAACGTTACCCTGTAGTCCGAGGCCTCGTAAATACGTGTGTAACAATTTAATGCACGAAGTGTACGCGTATGTGTGACTTAGGGCGGCCGTATCCGTTATCATGTTTTCGGAACAAAAAAGAAGAGAGTCGCATCGAACGTGTTCATTAGACCCCGCGATTATTTCTCGGTACATGCGATCTTCTTATCTGTGTTAAAATAATATGTACATTATTCGGTCGGAGGAATTGTTTCGAATAAATTCTCTGTTGTTCGATGAGAGCGCTATGGAGACGGAAATCGCGCGTCTCCGGGGCTGAGAAAGTTTTACCGCTATACTATACGTCGGCGATTGAATGAAAATAAACGCAACAGTTCGTATGCAACAACAACAACTCGCTTCGAACATTTGTGTTCGAATTTCGAACAAACGAATTTCGCGTTGGATACGATACGGTAATACAGAATAATACAGAATGTATAATACTTGGCAAAAATAGCGGAATCAGACGTGTTGTCGGCGGAATGTCTTCGGCCTTCTACTGTGTTACGTAATTTTGATTTAGAATGCTTCACGCAAGATGGTCGATTGAGAAATTCATGAATGAAAGGGTTCTCGCGCTGACAACCGTGTTGGCTTTAACGATTGGTCTCGCACGAGGACTGAATTGCAGTAGCGAGCCTTGCATGTACGGGATTTGCTTAGAGGATGGGAACAGGTACATAAAACACACAGACATAAAAATCACGCACACAGTCTCTATGTTGGTATGAAACGCAAAATGATACTTTATCGCCGATAATATCTAGGTGATTAAAGGAACGCTTGTGTCGAACGTTTTTAGCAACGACCACGATTAACCACCGCTGTTTCATGAATATTTATTTCCTAAATATATAAATCCGAGGGATTTGTAAATACAGGAAATTCTCTCCGATCGACAGAAAAGATACGATTATTCGAGGCGCAAATTAAATGGAATTTAATCGAGCCGGAAGCCTCTTCTCAAACTAGTCTATATTTGTTTCCAAGCTGAGCGTCGATTAGGGAGAATTTACTGTATCTGCTTTCATCTTCTAAATTGACATCGGCGGGAAAGAACGATAGAAATTTGTCAAGCATCGTTCGCTCGAGTAGTGTGAATAAATTTCAATAAATATCCAAAGTCCCCACGACGGAAGTTATTCGTGATTCGAACAATAAGAATCGCAACGATCGGCGAGAAGCCAAATTGCTTGCGATTAAAGCTCGTTTGTTTTGTGCGCGCAGCACAAAGTATTCCTGTTATTGCATCGACGGTTACACCGGAATCAACTGCGAGATCAATTGGGACGACTGTTGGTCCAATCCGTGCCTAAACGGAGGGACATGCAACGACGCCGTTGCAGCGTATAATTGCACCTGTGCCGAGGGTTTTGTAGGTAACTCGTGGTATCCCTGCGTTCATTTCCCATCGCATGCGTGATATACGGGCCGCTGCGCCGGCATGTTTACGCGGGGAATGATTAAATTATGATTATGTGCTCGCTTTACGGTACCGTGGATAACGTAAACGTAAACGCGCAACTGTTAATGCACGAGATCAGCGAGAACAGATCGAATCAATCCGTCCAGCCAGACGGTGCATGCTTCGCGTTTCAGACGTGTTCCCTTATCTATTACAATTTGTCGGCAATTTGTGATTTCTCTATCTTGCGTTCGTCTATTCCAGGGGTGGCCAAACTTTCGATCACTACGGGCGACCTGTTTTTTTTTTTTTTAAATTATAAGCGGCGGTTCACCAACATCGCGATTACACGAAGTGATCGTAAGAAAAGTAGTAATTTAAATCCAAGAATAAGTTTAAATTTGAGATAAACATAGATAATATCAGACAGGCAGGAGCCATTAGGAATAGTTACGTGTGGCCGACGGTTCGGCCGCCCCTGATCTATTCTATAAAATCAATTCAACGGTAACAACTAGACTGCGAATTTTGTGCGTCTTATGGCAAAAACGGGCTATAAAAGACTGAAACGACATTAGAAGAGTTCAAATATACGTTCACATTGTGTTCCAACTTATCAGTTCAACTTATAATTATTAAAAGAAATCTTTATTTCGCACAAAGATCCGCAGTCCGGTAATAACTCGTGTACAAGACTTTTTTACAAGAGTTTCTTCTAACAGCACAACATCGTCTCTTTCTATTACGCTTCATTCGTTTCGTTGACGCATCGTTCAATATGCACCTTGCTGTTCTTTCGATATAAACATTTAAATACGCGAATCTGGTTCAACAGAATCCCTGGTCTCGACGTTACTTTTCGCACAAGTTTTCTCGACGCGTCGCGTTTGCAGGTATAAATTGTGAGCAGAGGTACAGCGAGTGCTCGAACCAACCCTGTTTGAACAACGGGACTTGCCTCGACTACGACGGCATTACTTGTCAATGCCCCGACGGATATTCAGGTATAGAGGCAAGAGATCTCGTAAATCCTTCGCTCTGTCCTAAACCGTCGTTTACTTTCCTCAAGGCGATTACTGCGAGATAGACGCGTCCGTCTGCAACGACACTATATGCAAGAATGGAGGCGAGTGCATCGAGGGACCCGGGTTCTCCTTTCTTTGCCGTTGTCCCGAAGGCGAGTGCCGCGTTCGTTGGAACTGTCGTAAAAACGAACAACGATAAATCATCGTTTCGTTCCCTTTGTTACAGGATGGACAGGCCCGCTGTGCGACCAGGACGTCGACGAATGCATCACGTCGCCCTGCAAAAATGGTGGCCTCTGCATCAACGTGCCCTCTTCTTATACCTGCGCTTGCCTGTTCGGTAAGCATAGAGAACGTGCCGTCACAGATTTCCACTTCAAATTCGTTCGCCCTTCGGTAAAAATAGCATGGCCGTTCGTTCGGTCTCGCCCAAATTCGTTGTAACTAATTGTCACGGTTGCTTTTGCAAGGATACACGGGCAAAGACTGCGACAAAGCTGTCGTCCCCTGCGAGGAGAATCCGTGTCAAAACGAGGCGGTGTGTTTGTTCGAGGACGAACGATCCGTTTGCTATTGCGTGCCGGACTATCACGGCTCATTGTGCGAGCTGAAATACGACGACTGCGAGTCGAAATTCGCGAACTGCGTGAACGGCGGTACCTGCGTCGACGGCATCAACAGTTTCACCTGCGCCTGCCCGGTTTATTACAGCGGGCCGTTCTGCGACCAGCACGATCATCTTCCATCGTCGACGGTTTCGCCGTTCGCGGAAACATACGAGACTGATAGCGATAGGGAAACAACCACTGCCAGCATCTCGTTTCCATCGGGATCGCCAACACTGCCAGAAACCGATTCGTCGCCGTTGACAAATGCTTTCGCGGCAACTGAGTCTTCGACGTCGGTCAAAGGGACCAGCCGTTCCTTCACGAAATGGTACCCTTTCGCCGAAGGGTCATCGACCACTGACAAAAATGGCTTGTTTAGCAGTAGCAGCAGCAGCAGCAGCAGCAGCAGCAGCAGCACGGACACCAGCACGCTGCTCACCGACGCCTCGTCGATCTATTCGATCACGACCAAAGACCTGTCCCAAACCGAAACAATCTCGTTAGAGCCTCGCACGTTTCCTGATGTCTTGAGCGAAGCCACAGCTACGTCCTCGACGCTGAAGATCGAGAACGATTATCTCACCGAGAAATCGTCTCGCAACGAAACCGCGGCCACCGAAACGACGTACCAGAGGGAAGGAACTGGGACGTCCGTTGCCATCAGCGAGACGTCCTCCTCCGAAACGAGTGACACGCCGAGATACACGCCGACGACAGAGTAAATAGTCCGCTTAGAAATCTGCTTAAAAAAAAAGAAAAGAGAACAATCTTTTACAATGGTTGTAAAAATGGGCAATTATAAGTCAACAATTATAAAAACGACGTGCAAGCCACGAACAATCGTATCTCCTCTTCCCAAATTGTCCATTTTTATGTGCGACCTGAGCGTCGATTAGGGAGAGTTTGCTGTACACCGGTACGTATCATTTCTAGGTATTATTTCATGATAACTACGTCCACGGAAAGGGCCGTCGAAGAAACCACGATAACCGGAACCGACAACGAGAGAAGCACTTTATTTTCTACAATCGCGTCGGCTTCGGGTGTCACGGAATTCTGGCGAAACAGGAGTTTGGAGATAAGNCTGCGTCGACGGCATCAACAGTTTCACCTGCGCCTGCCCGGTTTATTACAGCGGGCCGTTCTGCGACCAGCACGATCATCTTCCATCGTCGACGGTTTCGCCGTTCGCGGAAACATACGAGACTGATAGCGATAGGGAAACAACCACTGCCAGCATCTCGTTTCCATCGGGATCGCCAACACTGCCAGAAACCGATTCGTCGCCGTTGACAAATGCTTTCGCGGCAACTGAGTCTTCGACGTCGGTCAAAGGGACCAGCCGTTCCTTCACGAAATGGTACCCTTTCGCCGAAGGGTCATCGACCACTGACAAAAATGGCTTGTTTAGCAGTAGCAGCAGCAGCAGCAGCAGCAGCAGCAGCACGGACACCAGCACGCTGCTCACCGACGCCTCGTCGATCTATTCGATCACGACCAAAGACCTGTCCCAAACCGAAACAATCTCGTTAGAGCCTCGCACGTTTCCTGATGTCTTGAGCGAAGCCACAGCTACGTCCTCGACGCTGAAGATCGAGAACGATTATCTCACCGAGAAATCGTCTCGCAACGAAACCGCGGCCACCGAAACGACGTACCAGAGGGAAGGAACTGGGACGTCCGTTGCCATCAGCGAGACGTCCTCCTCCGAAACGAGTGACACGCCGAGATACACGCCGACGACAGAGTAAATAGTCCGCTTAGAAATCTGCTTAAAAAAAAAGAAAAGAGAACAATCTTTTACAATGGTTGTAAAAATGGGCAATTATAAGTCAACAATTATAAAAACGACGTGCAAGCCACGAACAATCGTATCTCCTCTTCCCAAATTGTCCATTTTTATGTGCGACCTGAGCGTCGATTAGGGAGAGTTTGCTGTACACCGGTACGTATCATTTCTAGGTATTATTTCATGATAACTACGTCCACGGAAAGGGCCGTCGAAGAAACCACGATAACCGGAACCGACAACGAGAGAAGCACTTTATTTTCTACAATCGCGTCGGCTTCGGGTGTCACGGAATTCTGGCGAAACAGGAGTTTGGAGATAAGTTCGTCGTCCGGGGATGTACCAAAAGCTACGACTGTATCGTTCACAGAAAAGGAGATGTCCACCCATCCGGGCGGATCTTCGAGCATGGATGTAGAAAATTCTACGGTCCCGTTCGCGAGCAGCAGCCCTTCGTTTGCAACAACGAGTACCTCGATGAGGACCGTGTTCGAGGAAAGCAGCACGATTGGCGAAGAGGGCCAATCTTCCGTGAAAGATCAGTCTTCGACTACGGTGCAAGGTAGCACCGATTGCCAGGGTTCATCCTGCACTAGTCCCACGGTATCGTCGGGACGCAACGACAGCGTCGTAAGCGAACCTAATGCCTTCTATTGTCCACAATTGTGTTAGATCGCTTCATTCGATCGTAGAGCATCGATTGTTTCATTGATTCCATAAAGGAAATCTCGATGTCGAAGATCGACCATGATCCGAGCGTCGAACCGAATTTAGACGAGGACGGGGTTTGTAAATTCGTCGGTTCTAGAGATTCCCGAAACATTGAACATCCCAGACGATCTAATCATGAACTGATTGTCATTCTATAATTACGATGTTGTTATGTTGTTGCAGTGCAACTGTACGAATCGTAGCGACTGTAAGACCGGCCCGAGTATAACGCGGGCCGCGTTCAACGGGAAATCTTATGTGAGACAACGTGTGGACGTAGAAACGTTGAATGACAATAATACATCACTGAGGATCTTCGTTAGGCTGCGAACACGTTTCAAGGATGGTATTATATTGCACGTGTATTTCGACGATGAGAAATATGCGCTGGTATACCTGGAGTATGGCTCGCTGAAATTTCAATTTTCCTGTGGACTGGAGACTATGTTGCTCGGGGAGATAGATTCTTCTATCGACCACGGATACGAAGTAGACATCGATACAAGGTACAGGCGGCGGAAGTTTCTCTGAAACTCATGAATCGTTTATAGAAACTGAATTCAAGCAAAAGCCTACTGCATTAATACTAAACCTACCACGGTCGAACGAACAGTTTCACATTTTACGATTATAGAAATTATAACGACGTTCTGTATAATTTATGACGTTGTATTTCTTAAAGCCTCTTTTCGATTCTTATAAATAATTTTATCTTTCTCTCATATGCAGATTTCAATATTTTATTCGAAACGAAACCAATAAATGCTCCGCGCGACTACTAGTCAATGGAACCACAGCAGTTAGCGGTGAACAAATATTGCCCTTGCAGGGAAACCTTCCACGATACGCCAATTTACATTTAGGAGGCATACCGTTAGTGTTCACGCAATATTTTTCACACGTCTCCATGGGATTTACCGGTTGCATGGACTTGTTGAAGGTTTGCCTCCTTCTTTTTCCAATAAAGTTCCAATTATAATAACCGTACCACTAAAACAGAATCTTGGTTTCCTTCACGAAGTTCCTCGTATCATTAAAAACAACGCAGATATTTTTGGTGAAAATATTAAGCGGCTCAACTTATACATATGTATAGGCATATCACGCATATTCTTGCAGGTAAATGATGTTCCGCGTCATTTCATTTATGACTCTACGGAAACATTTCAAATCGAAGATTGCGTATCCTTTCTGTGCCTTTCAAATCCGTGTCAAAATTTCGGTGCATGCGAAGAGACAAATGGTACAATACGTTGCAGATGTATACCCGGGTAAGATATAATAGACGTTCCGAATTATCTGATACGTAACGCTATTGAACGCATATCTGTAGACTTCTAGCAAATGAATAATTCCAACGTTAAAATAACAATAAAGGAATGTTATTTGATCGAACAGATATACGGGATCGTTCTGCGAACGCTCAACCTGCGATGAAAGCCCTTGTGCACTGGGAGCCACTTGCATTAGTTCGCCAGGGTCAGGCTTCGTTTGCGTTTGTCCCCTTGGAACTCATGGTCTCTTGTGCGAAGAAGGTAATGCCCTTGTAAACGATTTTACTATACATTATACACTAATCTACATTAATTAATTAAGCAATTTCATCACAAACTTTCAGATACAGTTATAACTCGACCATCATTGTCAGTGCTCATACCTGGATTCTCGTCGTATGTCGCTTATGGTGTATCAAATTCTATAAAAGACACTATGGAACTAAAAATGAAGCTCATACCGCGAACCTTTGATCAAATATCCCTAATAGCTTACTTAGGACAAAGTGGTTCACGACGAGAACTCTCAGATCATCTCTCCGTAACATACGTTCGCGGTTACATTATGTTAACATGGGATTTGGGAGCTGGTAAACTGCAAGCGCATCGGAAAACTCTGCTATAGAATTGTATTTCAGTTTATAATCTCTTGTATTTCCTTTGTACAGGTGTACGTAGGATATTTACGAGTGCTCCGTTGAGCGCCACAACAATAACAGCTACAGCAAGTAAGAGTTATATAGCACATACCGTTCGGGTTGGAAGAAGTGGCCGGGATGCGTGGCTCGCTGTAGATGGTATAGGTAATGTGACTGGACGAGTTGTTGGATCCATGACTCGTCTGGACGTGTCACCGATTCTTTACATTGGTTTGTTCTCTCAATTTTATGCCTTCATTTGTGAAAGTCATATTACAGATAATCAGATAAGATACTACTAGTTTATATTGTGTGTCCATTTTACCACGACTTGCAAGAATGTTTCTGAAGGAACTAAATTATGAAATTAATGTTCTTGTAAAAGCTGCATTCCTCTTCATACCAAATAGCTGTTGTAAAAAAATTATTTTAATATTTTTGGTTTCTTCTGTTTTAAAATGTTCGAATAAAGTCAAGTAAAATGTACACACTGTGTGTGTGTATTCTATATAATTCCAGTAGAGTACAATACGAAGAAGTGTTATTATTATTTTAGGTGGTCATAAATCAAGAAACTTTGAATCTTTACCCCATGATCTGCCTCTTCATACTGGATTCTCTGGTTGCATATTCGACATTGAAATACGCACAGCTGGCGCAATTTATCCAATATCAAGTTCTAGTCCCGCAACCGGCCGTGGGGTTGGAGAATGTCATCGTAACGAATGTATTCGCCATTCATGTAAAAATGGTGCTGTATGTTTGAACCATGGAGCTACATATAGGTAAATTCTTGTTTGGACTTCATGCATAGTCTTCAGTATTTAACTCGTTCATTAAACATTATATTCATTATTTCAGCTGTATTTGTACAAAAGAGTGGATGGGTTCGGATTGTTCCATACCAGTGGAAGTGTTATCCCCTATTGATTCATCCTCTTGTCATTCTTCGAATTAGTCAAAATATTGTTACCATTTCATTATACTCGAATTTATTCATAGTACAAAAACTTCGTATATTAACTAATGTTTTCATTATTATTTTTGGGTCGTTTTGTTACTGAACAAGAGTTTAAATGCACAAATAAGATTGCTGCAGCTAAACGAGCCTGTAAATCATACTTGTTATGATCGTGATGCCATTCCACAGATCCCCAATGAGCAGTCTACAAAAAGGAAAGCAACAGTAAAATATAGGGCAAAAATAAGTCCAACATCATTTAGTGAAGAAATTCATATGAATACCTGAAAACCTTCCTCTAAAAGTGACAGTTTTACTGCTTCTTCTACACTGAGTACTCTTTCTGCTGTAGCTAATGTGAGAATTACAGATTTTATTGCATCTACTCCATACATGAAACCTATAAATAAAACAGTATTATTTACTATAAAGCAATATGTACAAAATTGTATTTGTGTATGTTAACAATAAAGATATTTACCATATACTGCGCTGTGGTCATACGACATTAAGTGTCTCAACAATATTGCTTTAGTTTCTGTAGACACTGTGGGAGCTTCTATAGTTTTGGTTTTTATTATATCTACCCCATAATTATCACAGAACCATTGTACTAACGGGTCCCACTTCTCTACTTGTAATTTATATAATTCAGTCTCCTGCAATATAATAGTACAATAGTACAATCTAAGTTTATAATATATTACAATTTTGTAAAAGATATACAATACACGTACATTTGAGTGAAATAATAAGGTATCCATTTCCAAACAGTTAACTATATAATTTACCATATCAAGTTTTGTATGATTATGAGGATTATCTAGTACTGTATTACACAGAGCTGTCTATAAATTTGAATTGAAAAGAATAACATTACACTATTAATTAAGGTGCATTACAGAAATATATGTAAACTATAAGCTATAAACTGAAATTTACCAAGTGCATGTTGCTTCTATCAATAACTCCTTTTTGAGCATTCCATTCTGCAGCCACTGCTAATGCAAGTGCTTTACTATTTACTTCAAATACTTTCCCCTGTGGAGTCTTGAGTTTTCTTTGATCAAGTGTAATTTCAAATTTGTCACCATTCGATAAAATATTGGTATTTATATAAAACCTTTTCACAGTAGCTACAAAGTAATTTTATTATCACATAATCATTAAAAATTGCTAAAATACATTTATTGTATATACAACATTTGTGAAAATATTGAAATAATTATTAGAGGTAATAATCTAAAAAATTTAGTACA